CAATGCCATCTTGTAATTCGGAGGGGGGGTTTCGGGGGGGGCCTCCCTTTAGGTTAAACGCGTTCTTGTTCAGGGCCCCTACCTGGGGTTTCTGTGGCCCTTACGACTTTGGCAAACGGGGTTTTAATGCCCCCTGGGGATTTGGGGTTCTGGAGGGTTTTTTTCCACTCCGTTTGGGCCATGTTTTTTTTCCAGGGTTTTGGGGGGTTCCAGGTTTGGGATTGGTGGTTTTTTTCGGGAAAATGGCCTTTGGCAAAAGCCCCCCCCCCGTTTCTTTCGCGCTTTGGGGGGGGTGGGGGGGGGGGGGGGGTGTACTCATAGTCGTGCATGCCGTAGTCGTTAGACCATTGACCTCGCATCCCTACAAAGCCGGGACGGAGCATGCCGGGTTCTCACCGGACCAGGCTCTCACATTACCAAGCGCGAAGCGCCGTGAGGTGTTCGGCGAGTCGCATGAAGGGTGAGCTGCATCCTGCTAAGGGTGTTCGGCATCTTGTGCTTACTTCCTTGCGTACGGTTGACAACTGCGTATGACTTAATTTATTTTTTGGCGTTTCACTTCCAGAGACAGTTGTAAGCGCTGTGTATCTGCCTCGAGGGTGCTTGACCAATTTTAACACACCGTGCGATTATCCCCTTTGCGCGGAGTGAGGGTTCTCGACCCCGCACAACATGATCTACTCGACCACCATTCATGGTGCAAAAGAAGAAAAAAAAGAGGGGGGGGGGGTTCTTCCGCTCTGGGTCTTCTCTCCTCGCCCGTTGGGGAAGAAACCCTTTTGGGGTGATGCGGGGTGTGAACCCCCGTACCCCCACCCACCCACGAACCCCCCCGCGTAACGTATGCGGTCGTTCTCGTTTCAGCATGATGTATGTTCTTGTTTCGGCATGATGTACGCCTACACACTCGTGTATCGCATGGCCACGCTGGTATTACCCGCTGCCGCACTCTCAAGGCCTCTGTGTCGTTTGTTTTTTCTTCAGGACGTACTCCTCGGACGATTCTAGCGGAAAGATGGTCACTTCCGCCGGCGTGGCCGCTCCGGGACACGGGCAGCCCCCGCCCTCGGGGCGCGAGGCAAGGGATGGGCTCTTCATGAGCACGGTACGGAAGGGGACGGAAGTAAAGGGCTTGTTGGTTTGCTGTCTGTGTTTGTGCATGTGCTCAGGGGGGTTGCTGCTGCTGCTGCTGCGTTTGTTTTTGCGAAGACGCACCCTGTGTTCGTGGTGATGGTTCAGCGGCCTTGCGGTGCTTTCCCGCGATTGGTGAAAAACGGCCGCTTTGTTTTTAGACGAGGACGGTACGGTACGGTTTGACCGAATCTAGAATACGGTAGCTACCGTTCTTGACGATCCTGGTTTCTATGGATGGGACAGCGTTTTCGTGGCGAGGAGAAGCGTATCGTTCGAGTTTGTGCGGGAGGACGTTTGGCAAATGGCTGAGAGCGGTAGGGGGGGTGGGAGATAGCAGCGTGGGACAATGAAGGGGAAGAGACGCGTGGACTCGGACGGGTACAGAAATTAATTTCGTGCAAGTACTCCCGTGCGAGCGGGTTTTTTTTCGGGCATGACGCTCTGCCCTCGAGAGCGCTTCTGCCTGACGCAGGGAACGGTGGTCCTCGTCTGTCGCTTTGCTTCGCGGTAAGCTCGTGGAGGATCTCATAACATGCTGGCCGAAACAACGTCTCTATTTGTGGACTGATGTTTATCACCTCAATGTACCCCGCCCCGGGACCGATGGACGCATGCATGTCTTCTCGTGGTGCCGCCTTGGATGCCCTCCCATCACGCCTCTGTAACACAGGAAGACCCTCGTGCGCACGCGGCCTCCGTGGAGATGATGATCGGGGACGCTTCTCCGGAGCCCCCGCCAATGTCACGCCTGACCTCCGTAGAGAAGCTGCTGCAGCAGCAGCAGCAGCAGCAGAGAGGCAAGCCGGCGACGCCGCTCGGGAGCAACCCGGGCGCGTACGCGAGCAGCGTGGACACTAGGTCGCCGCCAGGGTCCTTGGGGTCGACGCCGGCGGAGGGCCGCCGTCGGGGTGGGGGGGTGGGGGGGTTCTCGTCAGGGGGCGTCGCGGTTGGGGCGGAGGGAGGCGGTCATCATCGGTCGTCTTCGGGGGGGACGTCGGTGTTGTCCATGGCGGGCGAGGCGGGCTTGTTCTGGGAGGTGAGGTCCTGCTGTTGCTACCTGCGCTGGTAGATAGCGTTGGTGTTTCCTGATGTGGGCGTGTTTGGGGGAGGAGCGGGGGATGGGGTTGTGGGCGGTGACGGTGGGGGCGGCATGTCAGGCCTCGTCTGTTGCGGTTTGTCTCCGGTTTCCTGTTTCCTTTCATGCGGGTTCGTTGTGTTTGTTAAGTGAGTGTCCGTCCAACGTGATGGAACAGTTTGGGGAAATTATTGGGGCCGTTCTGTTTTCGCGACGTTTTACGCTGACAGTCCCTTGCACAAGGATTGAAGTTGGGGCGAAGAAGTTTTGATTTGATGCCTTCTGCGCTTGGAGGAAAGCCCAAAACAGCGGCGAGCGTGAACACGGGTCCCGTTCTGTTGGTGAAGCTGCGTACTTAGCATACTACAATCAGTACTGCAGTACATTGCTGTATTTCTTGCATGGCCGCTGGCCAGGAGCCTTTTTGTTCTTCCCCCCGGAGCCGCTAATTTCGTTCGTGCCTTCTTCAACTATTGTTTTGTATTTTCCAACGATGACACAACGAATCCATCTCATCTATAAGAGAGAGAGTCTAGAAAGATCAACAATTATTACTATTTTTTATTTTTCTGTTTTCGCCATATCGAATACAAAAGGTTGAATCCCGGCTGTGGCTTCTCCTGGGACCGTTCGGCGCTGTGGGGGGCCTGGAGTTGGACGAGGAGGAAGCGAGGTCTAGTGTGCACCTCTGCCGGGGGCTGTCCGGGCTGCATCTGCTGCCGGCGCTCACGCGCAACCTCGGGATATTGCTGACGGCGAGAGCCATCCGAAAGCTGCAGGAGAGCGGCGTGGTATCCAGGTGATGATACATTTATTTCTTGGTTGCTTGCTTACACACAACGCATCCATATCTACATTCAGATGAGAGTCCAGTTTTTTGTTTTTGTTTCTTGTCCTTACGAGGTGTTGTGCACACGTCACTTGTACGTACAAGGGGGGTCATCGACAGCACTGCTGTTACTCTCTTTCCACATCCGATGCTCGCAATCGCTACAAACAAGACAAGAACGAAACGTCCACCCACCCCCCTCTCCCCCCAAACTAAAAAAAAAACGTCAACAGGATCAAGCTCTCCCACGTCGACCACCGAACCGGGGGGCCTGCAGCCGTAGGCCCCGCCCGCTTCAAGGGCCTCGGAGAGGAGGCCGCCGCCGTCAAGCGACGCCTCCGAGACAAGTGCCGCCGCCGGTGGGTCGCGACCCGCGGCAGCGCCGCCGCCGCCCGGAACGGGGCGGGGGGTGGGGGGGGTGGGCGCAGCCCGGGGATCGGGTGGACGGGGGCGACGGGGGAGGAGAGGGCGGAGTACGCGGCGACGGCGGAGTACGTGCTGGCTCCGTTCGTGGACGCCTCGGGGAAGGGCGGCGACTTGTCGTACGCACGAAGGTTTGTTTTGTCGGTTTTGTGTGTGTTTTTATTATTAGCACCGACCGCGCTAACCGACTGACCAATGAAAAGACGTCAGTCTGCGGTTGAAAACAAAAAACACTTCTATCTGCCATGAATTGGGACCCCGTGAGGGGGCAGCATGGGTGAGGCTAAACTATCCTTCGAATCAAAGACAGAAAAGTGTGTGTGTGTGTTGGGATTGGCGTCGTAGCCGGCTGGCTAATGAAAATATGTCAGCGATGTGTTGGTCTATATTAGGATAAACCAAGCTAACCGGCTGACCAAGGAGAAGACTCACGTGCATACATACCAACGATACGTATGTACGCGGGCGAGACACACCTGGGCGAGAGTTCTGTCGCGTTCATGAACGGACGGTTGTAGACCACCGTACCGTGCCTTTTTTCCTGCTCACTGCAAGGTTAGGGTGGCTACGTCGAACGCAAGCCAATTCCGAGTTTCTCCTACAATCGCACGCAAGAAGGCCCCAGGGTGTCGATAAAGTACCCCCCCCCCCCCCCCC